CACAAGTATTGCATGTATGTAGTGGTTATAACCGACACTATAACATGCTGCTTTAAAACAGCCAACGTCGCCTAAAACTACGAGTGTAGCTTCTTATTAAAAGGCTTCATGGCGCTAAGTATCAGCAACGATTTTGTAGTGAATTTTAAATCGTTACTAGAATTTTAGGGCAAATAAAACCACGAGTGTAGCTTCTTATTAGCGCCACCAGAGCCTAGTTTTCTTGTAGTATATTTATAGTTTATTGAGCCTCTGTCAAATGAGAAAAATTAGGAACCAATTCTATTGAAAACAAGTATTTCTCAAAGGACTCGTTCTTCTTCACCTAATTATTTTCGAAGAAGTTTAATACTGAATTACTCATTATTATAATAATAAACACACTTTTTATATATTAGCGGTGTGCATTATTTAGTCGAAATCGAAAAACCAAGTAAAACCGAGCTAGATTGAATGATTTCGGCTCAGTTTCAAAGATGTGTATCGGTATTTTTTTTAATCTAAATATTCAATTTTTGTTTATTAATTAAACTTTAATTTTTATTAAAAAACAAAATATAACATTGAAATTTAATTAAAATTTCTTATTCCATTTTAATATCATGTCAAACAAATTGATAAAAAAAAATCAAAAATTACATTGAATGCAATATTTGATTGAAATAAATCAAAGATTAATGAAATTAAATTAGTAGTATTCATGTAAGACCAGAAATTTATAATATTTGTTCATAACCAAATTCCAACACAATTTAGATGAAATTTTCCATTGTCGAACTGTTTAAGCTGAATTAAATTTTGATTTGGTTGTTTCAGTCTTATTAAAATTTTGATTGGTTCATTATTTGGATTTTGTATTTCGATTTCAAAATGATTTGACCAAAAAATGATCCATCCAAACTGACTCAATCTCCATCCACCGAGCCAAACAATCTCTCAACCACTTGTATATATTCGTAAGTTGTGGTTTGAGTTTCTCCACAAATCCATTGTAGGGGGGCATTTACATACCCACTACACAATTCTTATGTATTTACATATCCAACACCAAAACATTTATATTTACATGCATACTAGTACTAATCTTGAACATCACATCAAAAATAACACCATCACTATATTTTCAAAAGTGCAATGCACATTTCATGCATAGGTCAATAACTCGAAGGTGTTATAACTATAAACATCAAACTTTAGGTGTTAGATATATAAATATATAGGAATAGTATGATATGTATGTAAATCTCCCTTTATTTTAAGGAATTGATTCATTTAACTTTGAAAATTATTTGCCATATATACTCACATTTTTAAAATAAATGCCTTCGAATATATAATTATCCCTGCAATTTTTTACTAAAGAATGTTCATGTCTGAAACATTCAAGGATATGGGGATAAAAAGATAAGTTCAACTTGTTCGGGGCACAACCATTAAAACTTATGGTAAGAAATTAAATAAAAAATACTTTAATGCATGTTTTTTAAAAAAATTGAATGAATAAAAACTTTATGACGTTTAAATATTGCAAAGATATGTTTAATTTATAATTAATCAATAAAAAAAATTATATCAAATATATTTTACGAAAAAATATGTATATCAATGAAAGGGATCATGATACAATATGACTTCATAACTAACACCCATCCAGCGTTAAATTCGTAGGATCAAACTTCGAAAGGATATCATTGAAAATAACAAGCCGTCAATAAAGAATAAAAAAATATTAATGAGAAAATAAAAATATCCAAAATTTAGCTAAACTGAAACATTAAAGTATGCATGATGAGTAGTCCCTCCCAACAGGTCCCCAGTTCTTATAGAAGCCAAGGAATCTCAAAATAATAATAATAATAATAATAATAATAATAATAATAATAATAATAATAATAATACTTTGGTATTTTATGAAATTAAAAAAATCAGTGGCAGGTGAGCAAAAATCCTCCTTAGAATTTTGAGATTTTTCTATATAAATAATCAAGTATATCTTTTTTTCTTATATAATTTATATAATTTAAAATTTTTTTCCACTCTAAAAAATAATGTCAGCTCCTCCTTTGAAAAAATTGATGCTGAATTGCTTAGGAATGTGAGGCTTTTTATTACAAAACACATCTAAAGTTTTTTTTTTTTTTAATTTAAATAATAATAATATATTCTCTTCTAGTTATTGCGGCAATCCATGTTTTCGTGGACACGTTTCTACGGCTCTTTTGATAAATAAAAGAAACCTAATCCAAAATATTAAGAGCAAAACAAATAAAAACAATATTTTCATGTGAATTTTTTTTACAACACTAATTATCAGAATAAAACATAGAAGTCAAATAAAAAAAAGGCTTTAGTAATAGTTTTAACTAAGATCAATAATTTAAAAAATTCTAAATTGCCACAATTTTAAAATAATTATGAAAGGATTGTGAATGCAATACAATGAAAAGTCTAATGGGAGCGATTCTATAATTGTTGCGCAACATAAAATCATAACAATTAAAATCTCATAAAATTTGACCTGATACACTAACACGATTCGAACACAACTCAAAAAATTTTTGTTCGGATTCGGGTTAACCGGAAAGTTTTTTGAGTCGGGTTCAAGTCAGGGAATTCAACCTGTTTATTATTCTGGTTGGGTTCAGGTTGATCTGATTTGGGTCAGACCATTTTTGGGTTGAACCCGAACCCGAGCCGCCAACTCAAATTGACATCCCTAAATGTCAAAAATTGACCCGACACGGCAACACGACTCAAACTCGACTAAAGAAATACAGGTTCAGTTGTCCTGAATATTTTTTGAGACTGGTTCATTTCAGAATTTGACTCGTTTATTATTCGGGTCGGGTTCAAGTTGACCTGATTCGAGTGGGGTCATTTCAGTCGACAGAATCCGACATGCCGACCCGAATTGACAAACCAAATAGTTAGATATGATAAATATTTGAAAAAAAAAAAACTATTACATACAGATAATACGTAGATGCTTAATCCGGATAATTGTATTTTGGGTTTGCTCAGGCTAATGCACCTAAATAACACCCCAATTCACGCCAATATTATCCAAATGTATTAATTTGTCAAATATATGACCACATAAATTATATAAATGGAAGTTCGATGCGCTCAATTAAGGTTGTCAAAACGGCTCGTTGTTCGTGAACAGCTCGTGTTCGGCTCATTAAGAAGCTCGTGTTCGGCTCGTTAATTTCGTTGACTCGAAATACTACTCATCAAGTTTATATATATATATATATATATATATATAAAGTAGTATTTAAAAAAAAACTAATTGACTGCAAGGCTACAAAGACTTATAATAATTAAAATATTGATTAAGAAAATAGAATAAAAATTATTAAATTAGATTCAAATGATGTTTTAATATAAATAATAATTTTTAAATCTTGTTCAAAATCTTATTGTCTTATGGCTACATTATTAGGGTTGTTAAAATGACTCTTTGTTCGTGAACAGCTCGTGTTCTGCTCATTAAGCAAACGAGTGGAGCACGAACACACTTTTTGAGCTCGAAATATAAACGAGCCGAACACGACACCCCTACGCTCAATAGCGCAATACAGTGAGGAAAACTGCTTCTGACAAAGGCTGGTAAGGAAGGAAAAAATCTCGTGCTCCACATAAAACGAATTAAGAAAATACTTCTGCTTTAATCTTTTATGTCCCGTGTTTTGTGTCATATAGGAATATTAGGAGTTTTGGTCGCACCCACATGGCCCCTTCAATCTCTTATGAGTTATGTCCCACATATTTAACGTGCCATGACACAATTATATAGGAATGCTATTCTATAATTAAAAGCTATCGTCTCTCTCTCTCTCTCTTTATTTATATATATTTATATA